CTTGGGTGGGGTGGCAGTTTTTCAACTGTCAGCAATCTTTCAGATTTTTTTTTTTAAAAAGCAAACTTTCCAGTCCTGTTCTACCTGGAACATATTTTCTCCTCTAGGGCCCCTCCCCAGGCCTCTGCCGTTCTCTGTCAACACGGTAAAGCCAGCCCCCTCCCTAGCCGCAGGCAGTTGAATGAAGCAGTTCTTTGCTCCACCGAAGGAAATATTTCCATGGAGTTGGGCCAAGAAAACCCCTTGCTTGAATCCGGGGCTGGCCCACGCCCAAAGCTGGGGGGCCCTGTGAGGGCGGGGTGCTGCAACGTGGCCACATTTTCCTAGGATCAGGATGTGACTTCTTCTAGAAACCCTGCCTGTGGGCGTGGCCCGCCTCGCCAAGACCCCATTCTTGGCCGGCCTCGTCCCCTAGTAAATGGGTTTTTCTAGGCCCCTCCTGCAGGAATGAAACCAACAAAGTTCATTTTTTTGTTGTCATTGTTCCCAGCTTGGAATCGTTCGCCTCTGCACAGGTTCACGCGAGCCCTTCGCCGAGAGGCCCTGCGGGGCCGCGGGGCCGCCCCTGGGCTCCTTCGCGCCCCGAGCTTCAGCCTCTATCGGGGACTGTGCCTTGAGCTACTTAGGAGGGGCGTCCTGAGTCACTGGATTTTTATTTATTTAGAAAAATATTACATTTTTGAGGTCCCTAAGGAAGAGGCTCATATGGTCAGTGTTCTTGGATTGTTATATTTTAAAAAAATGTACATTATAAAACCAATATATGCCAGTGGAGAAATCCATAAAAGTAGAAGAAAAATGACCAGAATCTATTTGCCCTGAACAACTAATGGTTTTTAGAAGTATTGGGGTGTAATTTGGGGTGTTACCTCCCAGCTGTTTCTCACTGGCTCTAGTCACGACAAGTGTCCCTAAGGAGTCATGCTTACCCTTTCCCACACACTACGGACCCCAGAGTCAGGCGACATGAGTGCCACCTGGAAGCCCAGCAGTCTATCAGGAAGTGATCTTTGTCCTTGGCCTTTTGCAAAAGGCTGAATTTTATTTGTCTTTTAACATCTACAATTTGGCAAACTCCTCTATGCAAAGGTGGGGGCTGCCTCCAGACTGATTCCAGGCTTCAGAGGGAACAGAGTGCCCCCGATGTGGGGGGGGGGGCTGGGTAGGGGGAGCCCAGAAGCATGCAGGCAGCCACAGTTCTTGTCACTGTCCAACCCCAGGATCACGGGACCCTCAGAATATCCAACTGAAAGGTCTGTGGGTATGAGTCGAATTTGGATAAGTGAACAGCAGTAGAAGGTAAGCCCATCACACATGTCTTTAAATACCAAACTAAAGAGGTCAAACTGTATTTTGAAGGCAAATCAAGTTCCTGAAGGGCTCTGAGCCTTGGTGTGCGCTCTAGAAGGTCCTCTGTCAATTCTGGGACCCCAGAAGACGCCACTGTTGTTTGACACCCAGCCCAGTCCCTGAAAGGGGGCATAGAGATTAGAAAGCAGCAGGGTCAGCCTTACTTCTGCCATCCAGTGGGCCCAGGGAGATCTCTGGGGACCATGACAGTTTCGGTGGGGGGTACCTGGAAGTCGAGAAAGCCCGCACAGAGGCACAGGCAACCTACAGGATGCCATTTTGTGAAAGCTCTCAGTTTGGTTTTGAGGAGAGAGCACGTTGAGCTTGCGAGAGGGATAGAGGAGGACCTTGTCTTCATTTCCTGGCTGAATCTGAGGACGCTTGTCTGCCTGCCCGCAAGTATGTGCATGTGGATGGGAGACCGCTCACATGGCTTTTGAGGGCTCCCAAGTATGAATTTAAAAAAAGAAGAAAAATGTGTGCTTTGAATTAGATCTACGTGGAAAAAAGAAAAAAAAAAAAGCAGCGGGCTAAGCCATGAGTCTGGGACCCTGGCTTCCCTCCAGGCTCTTCAGGAGAGTTGGGTTTCAGCATGGACGGAGGAGAGAGCGGGCCGTTCCTCAACCTGGATTTCCTCGTCTGTTTTGCCCTGTCGATACGGATCTGAGCCCTCCAATGTCTTCTGCAGCCAGGAGAGCGAGGCCGATACCTCTTGGGTTGAGAGATGGTTGGGATCCAAAGATTGCCATAAATTGGCTCTTTCAAGCTATTTCTTCCATTGCTTTGGACCAATAAATATTTTAAAAGTTAGTTTCTGAGCTCCAGAAAAGCCAATGAAAACATTTAAACATATGGATTTTTTATTTATTATTTTTTTGGTATTGTGGTTAAACCACGCTCGGCAGGACTCGTTTACAGCAGCCTTTTCTTTTTCTGTTGGCCTTTTCTTTTTCTATCTTTTTCTTTCTTTCTTCCTTTTTTTGAGGAAGCCAGAAGGATACACATGTTGCCATGGAGTTCTGTTTAAAATAAAATACAATGGAAAGAAAAGCAGAGTGATGAAGTAACCACATGGGCTGCAGGGCACACCTGATACTAATTACTGTCATGCACAATGTTCTGGAAGACATTTGACTCGCCTGATGTATACATTCAAATCAAGCAAAGCAGGACTGCAAGGCTCCTCGGGGGCCATCTTGTCCAACTCTTTCCCTTTTCCAGATGAAGAAATAGGGCCCCGAGAGAAGGGCCTGGACCTCAGCCTCCCAGCTGGGAGGGGGCAGAGCTGGGATTCAAACCCACCACGCTTTTGTCAGAAACACATCATTTCCAGGGTCCTTTGCCCCGGCCTGTCAGTTAAGACCCTGAGAGAGAGGAGTGCGCTGTGCTGGGGGCCCCAGAGCAGCAGGCGGAGGAGCCAGGGAGTTCAGAAAAAAAGCAGAGAGGCTGACTTGGCACTGGGAGGCCCTGCTCCCCTCGTGGGGCCCAGCCTGGAAGAGAGAGATGCGCGTTGCATGTCTGGAGTTTCTCCTTCCACAGGGCCTCCCAGGGGCACCCCAACCAAGGCCAGGGGCTCCTCCCAGAGTGTCAACTCGTGATCTTTAGGACTGCAGAGCTGATGCCAGAAGGCACTGTGTTTAAGACAGACTCCAGGGTCCCCAAGTGCGTGACTAGTGACGCTCTCTGGTGTCTGCCTGGGCTCTCACGCAGGCCTCCCACGCAAGCAGGGCGAGTGGGAGCCCCCGTGACAATGCGCGCCCCTCGCCTCTGCCCCGGGAGGCTAGCAACCCGGCCTGCTGGTGTCTGATTGGTCGCGCGGGCTTGACGACAGGGGTTCCTGGCCACTGATTGGTTCCCACCAGCTCCGGCTGTTTCCTAGCTATTAATACCGTGGCTAATAAACGTTCTTCTGTTGACTGGGATGCTCGGAGCCATGATTCTTTGAAGCTTTCTTGACATCCTTCGTTGGTGTGGGCCTTTCGGCCTCGCATGTCCTGCTGGGGGGTGGGGGCTCGAGTCTCTGGGGTGCCTTGCATGCTCCCCAAGCTGTCAGTGGGGTGTTCGCAGTCTCCCTCACATTATCTGACATGTTAGGGGGCTCCCAGCCACAAGCCCCAAAGCCCACTTTGTCCTCATCTCCCCAGATGGGCTGTTCATCTACCAAGGAGCCCCCCGCCCAAGGTTCCGGGCCTCTTGCAGCCTGGTGGTCCACTTTCACCTCCCTGTCACTAGCAGTTGGCTTTACAAAGAGCCTTGTCCCTTCCATGCAGCCCCGAAGGGCCCCGTCTGGGTTTCCGCTCCCTCACTGGACAACTGGGCCCGGGGGGTGGGGGTGGGGGGCTCTCTGCGCAGCTGCTTTCCAGCCCCTTCAAGAAGGGCGGGGGCGCTGTTCTAGCTGGACAGCCCCGCGGGGCCCCTCGGCCTTTCCCCCTTTGGGACCCATCACTCATTCTTACCCCTCTTCTGTCACCAGGCGCTTCATCCTTGCCCTCCCGGCTGCCACCCACCTGTCACCCTAAGATAGACCCGCAGTTCCTTTCAGCAGCGTTTTGACCTTTGCGAGAGGACATTTGATTGACGGCCCTGCCCGCTTTGCCACTCCGTGCCCGGGGCTGAGCTGCCGAAGGCGCCACCTGTTCAGGATCGAATCCCCTGTGCCAAGTCCCGCGCGCGAGTTCGCGGGGCCACGCTCTGCCGCAACATGTGTCGCTGCCTGTCTCCCTGGGGTGGCGCGGGGAGGTGCTCGCGCGCGAGCGCGAGTGTGCGTGCGTGCGTGTGTGTGTGTGTGTGGTGGGCGGTTTTCAAAGTGTACGTGTGCGGAAATCACCTCAGTTGGGGGGGTACCCCATGCCTCTCCAGTTGGGACACGGACCTAGAAAAGTACTTTCCCTAGAGGGCCAGGGCTCACGCGTAGGTTCTTATTACTACCCCGTTAGGGGGTACTTCTGGTTACCGTGGAGGAAACGGACCCCCTCACAGGGGTGGGGACAGTGCAGAGTTCTGGGTACACAGGTTGTCAGCGGCAAAGCCAGCACTTAAAATCCGCCCCCCCTACCCCGCCCGCCCCAGTTGAAGGTGCTGTGCCGAGTATCCCGTGTCAAAGGTAACCAATCAGAAATGGATGGGTGGGCTAAAAGGGGGTGACAGCCGCCGACTGACATTTGGGTACCAGTCATGTTGCCCGTGGATTTTATTTTCCAGGACAACAAGCCGAAAGCATCATATTCTTTCCCTAAAACGCATCCCCTCACAGAGGTTCCGAAACAGCCAGGTGAGTGATCTGCCGCCCCTGGAGCCCAGCTTCACCCTTGGCCAGCCCGAGGGGGAAAAATCCCGGCCTCCACTCTCCCAGCAAATTGAGCCCACGAACCGCCTTGCTTGGGCGAGCGGGGCTCGTAGAGGGGAGAAAACACCAGCGAGCTCAGGGTGTTGGTCATGGCGGCGAGGGGCACTGCGGCAGAAATTTTTCCTCCCTTCTTTGCTGCAATCTGGGTGCGGCTGGAGCAATTTGTCATAGAATCTGGGGGGCTCATTTTTCCGGCCAATCACTTTTGGAGAAATGAGCGCATTGCAGCAGAATGCGCTGACGTCAGAGACCACCCCTTTCGCGCTTCTATATAAACCCCACCCAGCCAGCCCCTAGCGCAGACGGCGGAGAGCTGGATGGAGCGCGCCTTGGCTTGCTGGCCTTGGCCGCAGCTCCTCCGAAGAACCTGGGCGCCCACGCGAGAATCTCCCCATCAGGTAAGTGGTTGGCCATCCTTGGCAGGAAGGATGTGCAAAAACGAAGGTTACACCCGCGTCTGGGTTGGTCTCTGCCCTCCTGGACATGCCGGAGGACAGACGCCGGAACCTTCTCCCGAAGGTGGCCACTTCGCCTGGTCGCGAGCGTGAGCACGAAATACTGTCAGAAAGAAAAATCTCGAGGCACATTGTTTTTTTATTTTATTTTATTTTTTTGAGGAGGGGAGGAATCAGGGCCTCATTCTTGTCCAGCCCTTGAGGGTGGGCAGGGTCATGGGGGCTTAAATTAAGAGGAGCGGGAGGAATCAGATCAAGCCCGTGTCGGAATCCAATGTCCCGCTGTCACTGGGGTCCAAAACCTAGGTTTTCTGTGTTGAAGGAGCTACCCCTAGACTCACGAATGGTGGGAGATATGGCGGCGGATGCATTCTGTGTGCCCCACAGATTAGAGGGTAAAGCACCCGAAGAGAAGGGTCTCCTGGGTATATCGCCCTCCCCCCCCCCCCCCAGTGTGTGGCCAGCTTCTTGGTTGCCCGTGGGTGTGAGGAGTAGAGGTTCCTACCCATCAGGGATTCCCAGTGCAGGCGTACAGGGTTAGTGCAGAGCCGACTCCAGGCCAAAACTGAGTAAAATTTCTAACTGATACATGTTTTCACCCTGATAAACCTCCTTAACGGTGGAGAGAGATGGCGCTCAAGCGCAAACCTGCCAGAAAAGCCCCTAGGATCAGTTCTGTAGGAAGGGCGGCGGGAGGGGGGGTCAAGTAATTGGGGATACTGGCAGAGTAGAAGGAGGGGATGGCTTGGCGTGAAGAGTGGGCCATGTCCTTGAGTCTGGGAAACAAGAGGAAAGAGAAAAATACAGAGAAGAGGGCGTGTTGGGGGGGGGGGTCTGGGCGCTGGGAGCTGGGAATTGGAGGACGGGGGCTCCTTTCAGTATTGCATGGTGGTCTCTGGAAGATTCTGACGCGTTCTGGGCTTTCGATTTTTGATAGTCGCCTTTTGCTGTTTCCTTTGTCCCTGTCTAGCCCCCCCATGCCACCTCCTCCCCACTCAGGGCCGACGAGCTGTGTGTGTGTGTGTGGGGGGGCGCTAGCGGGTTGCTACGTGGCAGGTTTCTGGAATATTCTCTTGATGGCCGCCAGAGGGCGCTGATGGCACTGCGGAATTTTGGGGGGCGGGGTGGGGAGGGGAGGTGGCCTTTGTTCTTCTGCTAGAGGGGGTCAGGCTTGAGATTTACTGGAGAATTCTAGATCTGTTTACCTACGGGAGAAATGTTTTAAGATTCCTAGGCTCCTTGGGGAGTGGCCGCAGGGATCGCGCTGGGTAGCGACGCCGTGATCCGCAGTGGTCGTGACCATTAGAGGGTCGTGGAAGTGCGTGGCCGTGCATTAGTTTATTTCTGTTTTGTTTTTTCGGGGGGGTCTTAGGAAGGTGTGGTTCATTTGAGCAGGATGAAGAGGCCATAGATAGTTAATTAGACGCCCTCGTGCGGGGTCTTGGAATTCTTGCTGTGAAAAAGGGAGGTGAGATTGCGCGGGGGCGGGGCGGGGGGAACGGTGGTCTGATGACGTTAGGTGGTTTTGGCCGCTTTCACATTATTTTCTGGCGATACCGTATTTTATATCATGTGTCCAGAGACCACAGATATGAGTGAGAACGTTGTATCGAGAACTTGGTCTTTTTTATTTTAATTAATTTGTTTAATTGGATTTACTGAAGATCGAGGCCAAGCTTTCTGTATTTTTACTTATTAAAAGTGGAAAGACCCTTAGGGTGATTGTCTTCTTGTTATCTCTCAGGTGACCCCCACAGTTGTGGGGCTGCCGAAGTCCCTCTGGGCGTTTGCCTGCGGTTGCTGCCACAGGTGGCTTCTGGCTGGTGACGGTGGGCATGTGTTTTAGGGGACATAGTGGCATGTGTGTTGGGCTAAGGGTGGATTGTGCCCATCTTCCTAGTCTGAGACCTGTTGGGCTGCCCCCCCCCCCCCCGCCCATCCTCTGCCAGCTGTTGCTCCTGGCAGCTGCGGGCCAGGCGCGGGTGGGGCGCTAGACTCTTAAGGCGCGCGCGCTGGCGCGCGCCGCAGGTGGGTGTGCTCTTGGGCTCTGGGTGCTGACTGCGCCCCCTAGCGGTCTCTGCCTGCAAATGGTCTCAGCCCGCCAAACTGGGCTTGAGGTTGCGCATGCGCACATAGCTAACACTTGGGGCTTGTCAATCAAGTCCTCCTTACCCCCTCCCACTTCTCTCCCTCCTCCCCTTTCACTTCTCTCCCTCCTCCCCTCCCACTTCTACTCTCCCTCCTCCCCCTCCCATTTCTCCTCTCCCTCTAACCCCTCCCATTTCTCTTCTTGCCCCCTCCCCTCCTGTTTCCCTCATCCCTCCTCCCCCCTCCTCTTTCTCGCATTCCTTCCTCCCTCCTCTCCCTTTGCTCCTCCCTCCATACCCCTCCCTTCTCCCTCCACACCCCTCCCTCCTCCCTCCTAACCCCTCCCCCTCCTTCCCATTCCCATTCCCCCCCTCCTTTCCCTTTGACTGCCCCCTCCCTCCCTCTGCTTTTCCTGCGCTGGCCGGTAGAGGTCCTCAGGACGGTTTCTAATCTGGCCCCCTCCCCTGCCACAGGTTGTCTCTTCAGGGATGACATCATCATTCACCTCCTTGCCTTCGAGAACCACCTGTTGATGCCCAACCCCGCTGATGCCCAGCGCCGCTGCCGAGGTGCTTGCTGCTCATCTCCACCTTACCGTACGCACCCCTCCTGGAGGCGGTGAGTGTATGGCTTGGCGGCTAGGTTCCCCCACTGCCGCCTTCCTCCCCCGCCCCTCCCCAAGCCCATTAGTATTTAAAGGACAACTTTAAATGGTAACTAATTAGTTTTAGTTGTAATGAACTCATTTAAAGTTTAATTCATACCTAGATTGGGACTTTTAAGTGGGCCCTCTAACCTTGGCTCCATTGCAGAGGACACGGGAGTGCCGATTCCTGGGTTCCCACCAGCATCCCAAGCAGCCCCTGGCAGAGACCCCCCTCTCTGGATCAGGATGACGGAAGCTGAAGAGGACCAGACCCGACCAGCCAGCTGCTCCTCTTGACAAAAGGCTAAAACCAATGCCCTAGTGAGGGGGCATTGGCTGCTGCCCCCGACCTTTGCTGTGCTTGTGCCTCTTGCTTTGACTACTTTCCTGTAAGTCTCTGCTTGTGTTAACGTGCCAGCGACCTGGAGTGTTTCCCTCCCCAAGAAGGGGTCAGTCTTCCTCAGCTGACCCTGTTGTTGCCCACACGATGTCCTGAATGGAGGGATCCCTCTGGGGACTTCTCAGGAGGGGGACCTGGGCCGAGGGCTCCACCAGCATCTCTCTGGCAATTCCAAGGCCCGCGTGGGCTTCTGGAATGAGCATGAGCCCTGACGCCGTGGGCATCCCCGCCTCTTTGGGGACCTCCCTCCCCGTCCTTTCTGGGGAGTGGCGATGAGAAGAGCAGCCTCCCAGGGTTGTTGTGAGTATCCAGTGAGCTCAAGTAGCCGGGGCGGCAGGGCTGGGCATCCAGGAGGCGGCCGACAGATGTTTGTTGAAGGCTCAGTAGGTAGGTCAGTCCATCCCCATGTGTCTCACTTGTCTTAACGGCCTCTTATTTATTCTCCCACAGCGCTTCGACAGCCCCTTCCATGGGGCTCTCCTTGCACAGGTAGGGGCGCCGCCAAGAAGGGTGATGGGCTGACTTGAATAGGAACGTGAATCACGCATGCGGTCATTTCCAGAGCGCTTTCTATGTTGTTCGAATACGTTATTTCGGTGTCAAACACACATGTGACGAGGCAGCCTCCCAGACGAGAATGAGCTCTGCATTGACAAGTCATTTTAAAGAGGCGGGTGGGGACTGAGCACCCATCCTATGGGACAGCGTTTATTCACATTTGCAGTGAGGGCGCTGAGGCTGGAGGAATGTAAGTATTTTGTTGCATTGCTGGCAAGACAAGGGGTTGGAGTTGGACCCTGGGTGACGTTGGAGCTGCCCATTAACCCCCCCTGGCCCACAGTTAAGGCCGAGAGCTTTTGATTTCCAATCAAGCACCCGACAGTGGGACAGTGTATTTGAACTCCTCACTGCCCAGGGTGGTCTTGGGGGTCTGGGTGGCCCCAATGTCGCTCCCATGTGCTGGCTGTACCTCTCAATAATCGTGTGACCTTACACAAGTTGCTTAACTCCTCCAGGTCTCAGTTCCTTTCATGGTCTAAATGAGGATTAAAAAAAACAAAACAAAACAAAACAAAAAACCCACCCGCCTTTAGCTCCCCCACAGGGTGCCTTTGAGGACCAAACGATGGAACGACTATGAAAGTGCTTTGTAAATTGCTGTGGAAATTGCAGGGTCCTTCACAGGCCGAGCTTGTCCCTCATCATTTGCATGCCCAGCCCTGTTCTCTCTCGTCATAATTGGGCCAGCACCCAGTAGGTGCTGTGAGTGTTTGTGCTCAATAAAGGAATTTCAAAATGAATAAAAACAGAATTAATCCAACAAACCTTTTCTGGAAAACCGACAATATGCCCAGCACACCAGGCCTGGTATGTGATACAAAGATGATGCAAACAGTCTCTTGGAAGCTAATTGGGACCCTCCTTTGACCGGCGCTTTTTTTTCGTCCCCTTTTAAGCTAACCAGTTTTGTCCAGACAAGACAAAACAACTCAGGCCCCTTTGAGAAGCCCAGCTTGGCGTGGACAATGGCTCCCGGGCCTCTGAAAGGGCCTGATTGGATTATATGGCAAATGAAGGTGGAAGGGTGACTTGGAAGGTGACGAATGAAGTGGGCGGAGACCTGCTTTGAGTTAATCCAGGCTATTAGGCGGGAACCTTTTGTCTTCCAGAGGCTGGCAGAGCTTTTACCAGCACTCTTTACGTCCTGCATGTAAGGACGCATAATTCATGGTCAGTGAAATCCAGGCCCCGGTGAGACCGGAGTGGGCCGGAAAACCTGGCTGCCCACTACCGGCGAGTAATTACAGCGAACGTTTGCGTCTCCTTTCGCTCTCAGCAAAGGCCGTTTTGCAGCTGGCAATTCATTGGAACCTCACAACTCCCTGTCCCAACCTGGGGCTGGCCTGCCTCCTCCCGAGGGCACAGCGCCGTCAAGCGGCCCTTCAGATCGGGGTCTCCTGGCACATTCGCACCCCCATTGAAAAGGAAGCGGTGTCGCCCCTCCGGCCACCAGTCAGACCCCCTGGTTTCCTAACTGTTCTCTCCACAGCCTGAGCCCCCCGGGCTCCTCCTGTCTTCTCCTTTCTGGCCACTACCGTCTCTCTCTTTCCTTTCGCAGCCAAGCTTCTCCAAAGGCCTGTCTCCACTTGCTGTCTTCCTTCCTCACCTCCATTTCCTCTTCAACCCACTGCTTCCTGCCCTCTCTGCTCCGGCGAGCGGCTCTTACTAAGGTAATGACTTTTCTGTAGCTTAAACCCGGACACCTTTCTGGCTCAGGGACACACGGACACTTGGACACATTCCTGGTCTTCCTCTCACGCAGCTCGGGGGGGGGGGGCCTGGCCCACATCTGTGGACACGCCCTCCCTGTAGATGTCGCCGGGACACCTGCTCCCGGCGCCCCTAGTTCTTAGCTTCCCCTCAGGACCTTGCATGTCCAGAGCTCCCAGCTTCTGGAACTTGCCTCTTGCCGGCGTGCCCCAGACTGGAGCCCTGGCCAGCCCACCTAGTGTGAGGGCCCTGGGCTCAGTTTTTCCAAGCCACCTGTTCTCCGTTGTGAAATTGAGTTAATAATGTAGCTTGGCAAGTCAGGTGGGATTATCTTGCAGGTAAGAACCAGACACTGTTGGAGGGGCTTGAAATAAGGTCATTAAAGTATTTGTGAGAAAATATAATTAGAGTGGCCATCAGATATTCTTACAGGTTAAGTTCCCACGGGAGGACCACAGAGAGAAGAAAGAAGTGGAGAAGGGAGGGGGCGGGCGGCGGGGGGAGATAAAGGAGAAAAGAATGAGAGAGGGCACTAAAGGCAATAGAGTAGGGAAGGGAGACTCAGAGAATATTAACGACTACCGAAAACACATCCAGAGAAAGGTTTCCTCTAGTGTCAGGTTGGGCTAAAATAAACAGGAAAAAGGTTTTAAATTAATTATCCTAGTGACAAATCCCAGGAAGCTTTCAAATCAAATTGCCCCGAGTTGGGGGGGGGGTTATAACTGCTATCAAGTTTAACCTCTTTACCTCTTTCACCCCGACAAGACCCTTGGCCCTTGGCTGGTGATTAAATCCCGAAGGTGCTTGAAGTCTTTCAAAGAATGAATGGCCACCAGAAAGAGCCCGCTCCCTCCCCCCAGCTGCGTTTTTCACTTTTCTTCCACTTTCCGCCCTTTTCCCTTAATGAACACAGGGCTGGGCTTGGGCCTCGTCAAGGAAGAGGCTGCAGACGTTAATGAGGTAGCTGCTGGATTCCAGGATTCCTCTTGTAAGGAGCCTTCTTTGTCTGCGAAGGAAAAAAACACTGATTATCATAATGAGGCAGAGTGGCGTCTGCAGGGCAGGGGCCACGGTCCTGAGCCCACACTTGTGATCTCGGGCCGGGGCCCAGGTTCCCTTTGCTCCTCATTGAAGGCCCGGGGAGCGGGGTTGAAAGTGGAAGGCTGCTGCGGGGGTGGGGCTGCTTGGCAGAAAGTGCCTTTGTTGGGCCCACAGGCAGATGCACTGGGCAGAGGCGCCATCTCCGTGTGGGGCTCGTCATCCCAGAGCCCAGGACAACGGGGTGTGCGGGTCCAAGCCCAGCATGCACCTGACTTGTCTCAGGACCCACTGGACACTTACAAACAAGCTCACCAAAGGTAGACAGGTGCCAGGTCACAGGGGTAGCACCCGTGGGATTACCGCAGAGGCACAAGATGCCCGATCCAGGTCAGGAGGTGATGGAGTATCAGCACCCCTCAGTGTGGAAGGGTGCAGCTGAGGGCTCACTTGGGGGTCCCACGGACCTAGCAGAGTGAGGTTCAGCTCCCGTTTGGGCCGGCGGGTGTGCCTCTAGCCTGGAACTTGCCCTCGTGTGTCCCAGTTCCGGACATTTCTCACCCGAGGCAGATGAGTCGATTAAGTGCCAGGCTTTAAGCAGACTTGCAGCCAAACGGGAAAGGGAAAACAAAGCTAAGCAAGGTGGTTGGAGCAAGAAAACCAGTCGTAGGAAGCTCACGGGCCTCCCTTAACTTCTCTGCCTGCTGGAGGTGTGGGTCAGAGCTCTGGCCTCGCCCCTGTGAGCGAAAGTTGCTCTCTGGCTCCCCAATAAAAACATGGAGGGACTTACACCTTCTGGAGGCGTCGCCCAGACTAGGGGGCTGGAGAAGGAAATAATAGAGCCGTTTCTGGTGTTTTTACATGATAGGATGCATTTTAGAAAAAAAAAGTAACTCCTAGGTCCCTTCTCCCCACACATCCCGGTAAGGAACATGCAAGCCCCAGGCCATGCAGACCCAGCAGTGAGGCACCTGTGAGGGTGGGAGGCTCGAGCTGGCGGGACCTTGGCAGTTTGCGCGCTTTCCTCGAGCCCCAACAGCCTGGCTCCCGCCCTCTCTGCCTGGGTTTCTGGACGAGAGTCGTCCATCTTTAGCTTTTCTGAGTTCGCCAGCAAAGGGGTCTGAGCCCAAGGCTGCCTTGAGTGTGGGCGTGGCATCCATGCGTGTGCCTGTGTGCAGGGGACCCCTGTGTCCCACTCTTCCGGGCCAGAGGACCTGGAGGGCGTCCTGTGCTGGCCCCAGAACCCCCAGGGCCCACTGGTCTCAACATGCATCACTAAGTCAGCCTCCAAGGCCTGGCCGTGAGCTCTGGTTTTTCGCTGTGACTGTTCCTGCTGTTCCTGCCTCTGTCCTCCACACCCCCTGCTCTCTTCCCTTCCCCTTCCATCACCCCTTCCTAATCCGGTGTTCTGGGGGTGCCCTAGGTCAGCCCATACCTTCTTTGGGTGTCCCAGCACCAGCTTGGCACCACGTGGGGTTCAGTAAGAGTATGTGGGATGTCTGTTTGGACAGATGAGTCAATGAAGGACCTGGACTTACACTCAGGCTGCTAGAGGGGATGCTCCGGGTTAGAGGCAGGTCAGAGGGGTGGGGGATGGTGGATTTCTGGGTAGGGAGGAGTGGGTGTTGCCCCTCCTGAGCCCCATTGGAGCGGGGTCTTGCCAGTCTCGCCCCTTCATTCACTCGTGCGTCCATCCCGTCATTCAACAGTTGATCCTTACTGAGCAAGCCCACCGCCCGGCCCCGGGCTGGACCCCTGCCACGCTAGCCTGTCCCTTGATAGCCTCTGCCCCCGGGAGGATGGGCCGGGGGGTTGCACCTGCTGAGGACAGCCCTGCTGTCCCAGCACTGGAGCAGTGAGTGACTCCTGCTCCGTAGCGGCAGGCCAGAGGGTGCAAGGTGGCTGGGGACTTGTGGCACAGCCAGCCCCTGCTGCCCGCCCTGCGTCCCACACTCAGCCTGTAGCTGAATGCTGGCTCTTCGGGACCCGAACAGTGGTGTGTGTCCCCGTGGGCTCTGGCCACACAGGTCTCCCTCTTGAGGTGGGGTCTGTGACCTGGACCCCTCCCTCCATGATAACCTTCCTCCTTTTTGGGCAAAACCCAGCGCCTTTGACCTCTAGCAAAAGATGGTGGCGGGAACCTCCAGGAAGCTCTGCAGCTGCGCCCCAGCTGCCTACCTGTCTGCTCTGCCCGGGGCCCCTCCATGGGCCCCCACAGTCTGGGTGGGTTGCCCTCTGGACCCCTGCTTGCCTCAGTCTCTTGCTCAGCCTGACCCACTGCCCTTCCTCTGTGCCCAGGTCATCCTGCTCATGACCCTCTGGGCCCTGCTGCCCAGCCCTCTGTCTCACAGGGCAGTTTGCTGTACCGAGTCCACACCTGTGTCACCTGGCCCCGCCTGCTGCTTCAGCCACCTTTCACCTTCTTGCCTCTGGCCCTAAGTACCCCCCACCCCTGCCAGCCCAAGGAGCCGCCCCTCCGCCCCCGTCCCCCAGTGCTCCTGGGGTGCCCACAGGTCTCCAGTGTCCGAGGGACAGTCCCATGCTGGTCAGCCACCTCTCCCCACTGTCCTGGAATGCCTCTTCCCACTGGCCTGGGTTCCCGGGGTCTGAGGGCCCTGTGCCTGCCCTTCTCCCACAGACCCCTGTTGTCCTGCCACGCAGGTGTTCCCGCAGCCCACCCTGTCCCCGCTCGCCCTGGGCTCTGCCCACCCCAGGCCACCCCAAGCCTCAAGCTTTTCCCGTCACTGCTCATCCCCATGAGCCACCTCCCCACACCGAGAACCAGACCCCAGGTGAGGCTGGGCTTTGGGCCCTTCCTTGGAAAGTGTGGCTTTTCTGGGCTGTGGGCATTGCCGTGTTCTGACTTTCTGCCCCTCCCCAAGGTTGACCCTCAGCTGGGTCGGCTGAAGAACCGGATGGAAGAGGCAGAAGAGTCCCCGAGGACCCCCGCCCTGGACCCCTGCCCTGGACCGAGCCCTCCTTCCAGATGGCCACCTGGCTTCTCCTGACTGGCCTGCCGCCTTCCTCCTGGTTTGGGGTGAGTTTCTTGCTTTTCCTGGAATAGCAACACTTCACTAGTTTCAGCACACACCTCTGTTCACAAACTCACACACTAGAGCTGGCAGGGCCGCCGCCTTCCACTCCAGCCTGGGGGCCCGGGGGTCTGGAAGCTTCCCGGAGCCCCGACCCTGGCCTCTCGGAGCCTGCGCGCCTGGGGCCCACCCTGGTGGACGGCATGCTGTGGGCCCCGCACGGTAAGTGAGGAGCTTCCACCTCTGGGCCTAGAGAACTGCCCTGGGCTAGGCACATAGTAGGTCCTCCACAAAGCTTTGCTGAGCACGTTCTGCGATAGAAACAGTGCATTTGCTCTTACGCACCCTCCGCTCCAGAGACGGGGCTGTAAGAATCCTCGTCTGTTCGTAGCTAGAAAAACGCTTCTCCCCCCAGCTGGGGTGACGCCAGCCCACGAGAGAATGCTGGCTTCTCTCGCACGAGGCTTTGCTGGCGTCCTTTAATCAAATGGTGGTTTCTGAGTGAGTTCTTCTGGCCTCCCTTCCTCCCCTCTGCAGTGGCAGTGAGACGGGAATGTTTTGTTTGTTTACACAAAATCCGTAACCGTAGGGAAGAGGAGGAAGAAAGTGGGACCCCCGCCACACCCTCAGTCCGGGCCGCGTCATCTGTTTATCTGCACCCTTATTTGGGGTGCGTTCGTGCCGCCCTGGGCGCTCAGGCCTAAGCCCAGGTTTGCCTCCAGGCCCAGGGGGTCGAGCTGGGTGTCCTGGGAGGTCCCACGCAGTGCCATTGGCCATGTGGCAGCTAAGCAAGGCAACAGTAAGAGAGGAGGAGGCCACATGGTGGGCATCTTCCCTTCAGGGGTCCCCCAGGCTGAGCCTCGTAGGGGTTTTCAGAGGCGGCAGCCCCACCTCCTGCACTGGCATGGAAGCGGGGTGCGGGTGTGACTTCTGAATAAAACTCATCAGTGTAGGTAGCGAGGGGCCGAGGGATCCAGGCCTTGGGGGCTCTTGTCTGCTTGTTCTGTCCCCCCAGGGGAGCCCCGCAGACTGTAGAGAGGTGGGGAGTGTGTGCCCAGGGCTAAGCTCGGGGGGGTACTGGGAAGACCGTGCCCTGTGACATTTACTCCTCAGCTGGCATTTGCCAAGCTGCCTGCAAACACAGTGACGCGGACGAGCAGCCTGGTCGGGAGCTTTACACCAAGCAGCGTGCGGGACCCCCGGGGCTTGTGGCCAGAGCGCTTCCCGGAAAGATATGTGGAGCTAGTCTGAGCCAGCGGTCCCGGGACTCTGGGCACTTCATTAGGGGCCTCTCGGCACTCCCTCAGGGCGGGCCGAGCCGAGGGGCAGAGCCAGGTGGGGGTAGGTGCCCAGCCGGCACCTTGCTCCGACCCATCACCCTGCTCAGCAGCTGGGTTGGCCCGGCCAGGCTTCATGTGCATTGGTGGATGTCCAGTGTCAGGCCAGCACGCACTTGGGGTTTTGTGTGGCATAAGCATAAAGTATGTAAAAATAGAGCAGGTCCTGGATTGTTACCGGAGTTGAAACATAGCATCCTAAATCAGCTCTGCAGCCCAGCCATCCCAGGAGCTGCAGAGAAGCCATTATTCAGCGTCTCCGGCCATCTCGTCTCTACTAAGCACCTCCCCAGAGCTAGTTTTTAGCAGGACGCGTGTGGACGGGCATGGAGATTGGGGCAGAGGCGATGGGCCAGCCCTGCCCTCCTGTCCTGCCTCTGCCGCCGAGTGGAGTGTCACAGCCTCCATCCGTGCTCATGAAAAGGGAGATGGTGCCCCTCTCGCACCCCCCCGTTGTCCCACCTGCAGGGTTCCTCAGGGGGCTGATGGCAGCCTCCAGGCTCCCTGACCTTGGGCCTCCTGCCTGGTGACTCCAACCCCAAATGTTTGTCCAAGCACCTGTCTGGAAGCCATGCCAAAGCCTGGCAGGACTAGGGTGACAGGATGGGTGCGTGTGTTCCTGATTCACTCATTTGCATAAAGCGACGTGAGTGTGTTTCTATACGCAATCTGACTTTCGGAAAGAAAAGAAGAATCTGCTTGTCCTTAATGAGCTTGCTAATGAATTTTTCCTTGGAAAGAGGAGGCCAGCTTTACAAAGAATTGGCACAAATCAAGGTCCCACGGGGTGAAAGGGCAGTGGCCACTGCAGAAACCGGCCTCGTCAGCTGAAGGCCACCGGTTTGCTTTCTAGAAGACTGGGGTTCAGCATGTCGTCGCCAAGCCCCTGGAACTGGATGCCCTTCCCCTCTGCTCCTTTGAGCCCTGGCCCCTCCCACGCACAGGAAAAGGGAGTGTGTCCCTGGTGTGAACAGATGGAGCATTCTGGAGAAGAGTTTATCTCTCTAGATGAGGCCGTCTCAAGTTTGGGGTTCCCAGTTGGAAAGAGGTGAAAGTCTGGGTGTAAGGCAGGAGGGAGGGAAGTCTGAGGGAAGGGGGTGGCAGGGGCAGGTGCCCCGTCCTGAGCGTGGACTGAGCCTCCATTTCAGGGCCCGGACACCACGGCGGGGAGAGGGGTCCCGAGTTCATTTGGGTCCAGTAGGAGTGGAGGGACCCCCTGCCTCTGCCCAGGCGCCCGGCAGGTGCGCCTCTGAGGTTCCCGGACATCCTGGAATTTCTTGTGCTTTCCGGGGATTAGACCCTGGGTCTCGTGTTCCCGCCTTCAGAAGAAAACCGATCGCCCCAGCCATTGTTTTGGGAACTAAGTGTGATTAGGAAGTCTCCAGGCACATCTGTAATTGTCTTCTCAGCTCCCTTCCCCTTTAAGACCTTGGTGGTCGTGGGGCCCAGTGAGCGGAGCAGGTGCTGGGTGGCTGAGGCTGGGGTGGGCCCCAACTTGGGGGGATGTGTGTGAGAGAGGAGTTAATTAAGGGAGAGGACGGCTGAGGGTGTAGTCATGACTGTCTTAATTGCTCTCCAATTTCTTTGGGCTCAGAAAAAAATCCAGATGGAGGCTTCTTAAGTCCTCCGCCCTGGGGTCGGGGCAAAGGAGGACTCCCCACCACCTTTCCCCTGGCTTCTCTCTGCGCCGTGAATAGGGTCTTTGGCAGGGGCTTAAGGAGGAGACTCTTAGCCTGGGAGCTCCCAGGGCCTGTTCAGATGGGAACAAAGGCGTGGGCAGAAAGGAATGTGGGGGAGCCCCCGTGGGGGACAGCCACCTGGGGATAATTGGGAGGGCTGAGTGCAGACCCGTTTTCCCAGGTCTCTGAATGCATTCTTTCAATAGAAGGTGCCTTTTCTTCAGATGAAAAGAAGCAAACCTCAATTACCTTCCCCTGAGAAGGAGGGTGTGGGAGTGTGTGTGTGTCCCCCGTGGGGGCCCCTTGCCCTTGTGTGTGCCTTCGGAGGCCAGACGAGGGGCTGCACAATGGCACGCTTCCCCGGCCGCCCCGGCAGCATGGCCCTGGCCGAGCTCCTACGCCCGGTTCGAGGACTTTCGCTGTGCGAGTTTCTCAGGAGGAAGGAGTCGTGGCTGTGCCTGTAAACAAGAACGTGGTCAAACCGGGCCTGACGCCCGGGAGACAGCCGAGGACACCCAGCGGGGCCAAGGGACAGAGCCCAGGATGGGAAGCTGGGGAAGGAGCTCTGTCAGCGGCCAGAGGCCGACCGCACGTCTGTGCTGGCCACCAGGGCTGCAGCTGCGTGGCTCCTGCTGCCTTTTCGGCCCTCTTTTGGGGGCCACCTTGTGGGTGGAGAGAGTCGTTCCCACCAGGCTGAGAAGTTGAGGCCCAGGGCTCCACAGGGGCATCCTGAGCAAGGGGACCCATTGAGCCGAAGGGAGGACAGTTAGTGCCACCGCTGCCCACACCACCCCCAGGGCCTGGGAGCCAGCACCTGATGCTTGTCTGAGAGGAGGGAGGCCCCAGACTCAGTCCCGCCCCGTGTCTCAGCTAGCACCAGCTTCCAGGCCCCACTCCTTCCGTCTGTGAAATGGGTACAGTAGCCTGTTGGGCCTGTCTATTGCCTAAGGCAGGAGGAGGCGAGGTGTCCCTGCTGGAAAGGCCAGGGCCCCATTTCTCCACAGGGGGGCGACACAGGTCCCAAGTGTCCAGGTTGGGCCCCCACTAGTCTTCTGGCTGGGCTTTGGGGTGAAGGACTTAACCACTTGCTACTTGGGACCCGGGGTCAGGTAGCAGCCCCCGAAGCCTTCTATATGTCTGGTCACAGCCCATGCACAGCACCAACGCTGGGTGACCTTGGCCCCTGTCTCCAGCCCCCAGGGCCTCTGTTTTCCCATCTGTAGAGTGGAGCAGTGCCATGTCACTGCAGTTGGAGGGCCTTAAGAGCTTTGGGCTCCTCTCGGCAGCCTTAGTGGGCACCTGTGGCCTGTTTGTGTGTTCGCTGGGTCTTCAGAGTTAGGGGCTGGGATCCTTGGTCTCCAGCTTTCCCGGGATGTCTACTGTAGAGACGAGGGCACCGAGCCCAACGTGGGGGGCCTGGCTGCACAGCTGGCTGTGGTGTGGGGTCACGGTGGTGAGCGGGCCCCTGGTCAGCCTTGCAAATGCTGCTTGTCATAGTGCTGGCTCTCTGCAGGGCTCCACGGGGCAGTTTGGTGCCAGGACTGTGTGTTTTGGAGCATTTCTCCGAATGCATGGGCCACCGGCCATGCCTGGAAAGCCTCTCTGGGCTGCGGAGCGGTCACTGTGTAATGAGACTGGCCCATGGCTGCCGTCCCAGGAGGGCGTGTCCGGCTGCACCCTTCCCTGTGGCTCACCCTGTGCCTTTAGGTCACAAGACACTTGGCACTGCCACCGGTGGTGCCCTGGCCCGCTCAGCTGAGGACTTCCTGAAAAAGTCATCGCAGCTGCAGCTTCTGGAAAACCGTCCGTGACTGGACTCGAGCCGGTGTGCCCGTGGCAGCCCTGTCTCTGCTGCCTCTCCGTGCTTCCCTGTGCAGTGACACAGAGGGCCCAGCCCCTCGGCCAGGCCCACGCTGTGTCACTGCCTGGGAGTGGGGGGGCGCCCGTGTGGGGTGACCTTGGTCACTCCAATACCTGTGAGCTGAATCGAGGGACCAAAAACCTTGCCAGCCTCACTCAGACCAGCAGCCTGCCTTTCCCAGGCCGCCTCGGCCATTCTCTCCGTTACCAGGGCCCCCGCCCCCACACAGACCCTGGTTCTCTCTAACTGCCCACCCCTGAAGCAGAGAGGGAGATTCCAGGAAGAGGCGTATGTAAACAGCCTCTGCAGCACAGCCAACTGGAATCAGACGGCGAGGGGGGGGGGGTGGCGGCAAGGCAGAGGGGACAGGATTTCAAAAGATGTTCCAATTACCTCTCCCATTTTCATAAATAAGCCCGTAATGCCCAGGCCCCCCCCCCCCCGTCTTCACAAAGGGACAGGAAATTAGCTGTGCAAAGACCACACGTTGGTTGGGGAGGCCCTAACAGGGTGGTTTTCACCCAACAGGTAGGAAGCAGGCGAGGCTGATTGTTTGCGTAAACTGCAGGCTCTCTTTCTGGAAATGATCATTTTATTAGAAATGGTCATTTCGCGTCTTTACCGCCATAAATGTCCACAGTTACTCATACCAAAGAAGGGTCTGATCAACGAGGCTTTGTTTGCCTCTAGAAAAGAGGGAGTTTAGTTTAAGCTAGAATGTTCCAACCCCACCCGGGGAGGATGGGGTGGCTGGGCCCACCAGCGCTTCCTGCGTGGATGGGGAGCTCAGTGGGCATGCGTCTCCGAGGTCTCGGAGCGTGTGTGTGTGGCCGTTGCTCGTCTGGACCCTGAAGGGAGGCCTCATGTTTCCCGTTGGTCCCAAACGGGGTCTCCTCTCTGCCACTTCCTTGACATTTGCTAAGATGGCGGCCGGCACCGTGTCATTAACACCCGTGGCAGATCTGGGGCAGGGGTGCCGCGGCTTTGAAACCGTGGCCACGTCTTCAGTGGGCAGCCTGGGGTCTGCAGGGAGGCTGATGTGGGGCAGCCAGGAATTCTGGGGGCCCCAGAGCAGAAAAGCAGGGGGCTGCTTTGGATTTCACTGGCCCCATTAAGATCCCTAAGAGACTAAGTCAGAACACACCCCTGAGGTACCGTCCCAGCTCCCGCTGTTGTGGGAGGTGGCAGTGTCTCTGGTCCCTCTCCAGAGGGGGACCAGAGTGCAGCTCCTAGCTCCAGAGTCTCCACGGGCGCTCCTGGGGAGGGATGGCCACGCCTCAGGTGATGTCTGGCACAAAATGGGGGTCTCGTGGCCTTCGGATAACCAGGGTCTGCCCCCTGTCACCCGTGAGCTGGTAACTGCCTATCAGCACTTGTTTTTAAAAGACTTTTAGTTTTTTTTAATACATAAAAGCAACTAATCAGGGGAAAACGGTGTTTGGGAGGCCCAAAGCACGTGACCCTGTGCACCCCAAGAGCTTCTCAGGGTCCCCAGCCCACACTTGCTAGAAGTTGGGGAGCCCCTGCTTTGGCCAGTTCCATCCAGTGACCATTGCTTTGTCATTGCAGCCGAAGCCACCCCCGGGATTCTTCGTGGGAAGGGACCTCCGACGCAACCCCAGCCCCCTGCCCCCAGAGAACCGTAAGTCCCTAGAGCGCGGCACACGTCTGTGGGCTGTCAGTGTGGGGGGAGGCACACTGCCGGGTGCACCCGTAGGAGGGACGGGTGGGCACACACAGGTGGGTGGTCTGCTCACGGGGAGGGGGGCGCCCAGCTGGTTGAGTCCAGTGTGGGCCTGGGGGCTCGAGTCCTGAGGCAGGGCCTCCGGCATGCCTGTGTCATAGAGCCAGAACGGCGATTTTCTGCCTTCACACATCGGCTAACCCTCTTCTGGTTCTTTGTCATTTGGAACGGAGACCCTCAGGGGTGGTGATGGGCCCTTCCTCTTGTATCGGCCCCAAGAGGCCAAAATGTTTTCATTTTGTTGCACACAAAGCTGACTGTTTAAACCCGGCCTCCATCCCTGGTGTTTCCCACTGGGGGGGCCTTGGCTGACTCTATGTACTCCCCGGAACTGCTTTCCCACGAGGGTGGCCCCTCACAGGGTGCCCCGGCTGATCTGGGGTACAAACCCCGGGGGGTAGTTGCTCTCTGCACCTGCACGTGCCACGGAGACTAGGTTGTGCGCACCGCGGTCCTGGTGTTGAACTCGGGTGGAGGGCCCAAACACGGTGATAATTCGTGGTTTTGGTTGGGAGGCCGTCTTGCTGGTACTGTCTCTGTCACCTGGTCCAAATAAGTGGGAGAAGGGATACGCGGAAGCACGGAGGGATGAACAGACAAGTGCGCAGGTAAAAAGGTGAGTCGGCCCCGTGAGCGTGTCCGCTGAACGAGGTCCAGTGTGATGCACAGGAGAGCAATCAGCACGTGCATCAATAAAGTACGAAGTCAGCATGTCGAGAAGGCCACACACGAACCAATATTGGGTCAGCATGGATGGAGGAGTATGTACAATTTAAATACAGAACACCTCAAGTTTTCCATAGGAGAATAAAAGTTAAATAAAAGGAACACTCAATAGTTTGAAATGCACAAACCCATGGTGACAATACAGTGTTGTATGTGTGAACATTTGCTAAAGGCATATCTTTTGTGTAAAGTGTTCTTCTCATCAATGATAACAATAGATAAAAGAGTGGGTGGAAACTCTTAGATGTTCAACAGGCTTACGACACAGGTTGTGCAGAAGGGTTCTCGGTGCACACACATCTCCAGACTGGTAAAGGTGTGTGTGGATGCATGTGTTATGTGTGGCTTTTTGTCAGAAAAAGAAAAAGTAAGAAAGTAGAGAGAAAAGAATCACGGAGAAAAGCCACGCCCCAAGGTGGGGGTGTGGTTGGAACGCCCATCAGAATGAAGAGGGGAGGGGAGGAAGAAGATGACGGGAGGAAGCAAAATGATGAAAAATGGGAAGAAGGATTCTTAAAAGTGAGGTGGGGGTGACTCTGGAGGGGGCGCCGTGCCCGGCTCTCGTCGCCTGAGTGCCGGGGTCAGCCTTTCCCGTCGGCGCTCTGGCACAGAGAAAAAGAGGGACAAGAATAGTGAGAAAGGAAAGAGGAACCGGGGGACCAAAGATGAGAGTTAACTTTAACCAAAAGCGTTTTTAAAAGCTCTGGGCACACAGAAATAAATCACTGCTGAAGGGAAAGAGAGCTCCCCCAACCCCCAAGAGAGTGGCCGAGTGGGCAGTGAGGTGAGGGCCTGGCTGCGGGTGGCAGCGGGGCGGGAGGGGCTCGGGTTCCGATACGTGAAGGGACGGTAGAAGGAGGGAATAAATAAAGCATCTAATTACAACTCCAGACTTGTGGGAGAAAAAGTTCCAAATGTCAGGCACAGAAGCACATTACTGGGTGTATTGAAGCTAGAAGGAGGGGTTAAGGAGGGGCACAAATTAAGGGTGAGGGGAAGTTCAAGTCCAAAGCCTCAGTACTGTGGATAACATAGTATCCAAATAAACAAGTAGGGAGACTTTGGAAACAAAAACGGGATGGGGTGGGGGCAGGTGCGGTCCCGCACTCCCCCGGAGCTGGCGGGGGGGTGCTCCCCTCGTGAGTTCCCTCCGGGTGGGGGCTCTGTGGGAATGAGAGAAGGAGGTGAGACAGGGTGGGGGCATGTAGAAAGCTGTGGCGAAAGAGACAGGAAGAATAAAAAGTGACAATGACCAAATGGACAGATGGGTAGGTCCACAGGAGAGGATGAGGCTAGGAACCGTGACGTGGGGCCCTTGCGGACTGTGGGTCATGGCTGGTCCCAGGCTGAACGTTCCATTCCACTCAGAGCAGTAAACACTGAGAGGGAGGAAGAGGGCGGGGGCTGTGGTCGGTGGAAATGGAGTCCACCGTACTCAAACAACAGCAAAGATATTCATTAAAAACAAAGAAAAGGGAAGAAAACCAGAAGGAAGAATGGATGAAGGAAGGAAGGACGGACGGAAGGCAGGACAGAAGGAATGATTGGCACTGGAGCCTGCCTGTCAGGGTGGGGGTTGGCAGGTGGCGGTGGGACTCTCTGTCCTCGGGGACTGAGCTCCAGGAATGAAAGGTTGTAAGGAAGGAAGAGGGGGAGAGTGAAAGGGAGAAACAAGGGAAATCAAAGTGTGTGTGTATATGAATATTCACATGGATACAGGGTCCAGCAGACCCTGTATTGTGTTCATCCACATTCATACATGAATATGAATATACAAGAGAGAGGGCCATGCTAGAACAAAAAAAGTGAGATGACACTGTGACCCGGAATCATGGCTGATTGAAAACTGGGCTCTAGAGATCAGGGAATAAACCCTAAAGCAAAGTGCCAGTACCAGGAATTAATGAGCAAAAGGACGCCCCATGACTGGGTGCAGAGAAGGCTCGGGGACGCAGGTAACCATCAGTCCACCTCTGTGCACCTGAGGCCCCTACGTAAGAGGATAAAGAGTGAAAGCAAGGGGTGACGGGAAGGATGACTGGACCTGGGAGCGCCCGCCCCAGGCACCTGTGCCTCCCGAATGGGAGCAGAAGCTCCAACACCCCACAGAAAGGGGGCGTGGGTGCACCTTTAGAGAGGGGCTCGTTGGGGTCGGAGCACGGGCATCATTTGTCCTAAGGATGGGCGAGACCATTCCATCCCACATCCAGGGCAAGGGAAGATGAGAATTTTAAAAAAGTGAAAAAGGCAAGATAATAAACAAGCAGAGAGATAAATGGTTAGTTAGGAGAGGCTGTCTGAGCAGGGTTATATAATTGGTTTACATACAGGCTCCTTAAGTAGATAAATACACCTTTCAAAGAGTAAGTGAAAAATTGAGGCAGCACCAGCCCCAGAACAAGCCCCGCAATAAAATACATGCAATCGAGGCCCATAAATAAAAGAATAAGTGCTCACTGGGAAAGGTGACTAAGTACAGGGAAGAAAGATTGCAAATGCAGATACGGACGCAGGCCAGTAATGTTTACTTTGCACTTGGGGTTTTGACTAATACAATTACTTCACGGGAGACCTAATTGGTTAAAAAAAAAACAAACAGAAAAACCCACCGTAAATAAGGAAAGGACAGATGAGCAGGGGAGCGAAAGAGGGAGGGAGCGAATGGATGAGGAATGAGCTACATGGGCAGAGATTACTTTCCACGGGCACCTGGTTTGCCCTTCTGTGCCCCTGACTTTGTAAGAACGGTAGAACATAAGAAAGAGCGAGAGAAGGGGAGAAGGGTGCAGTTTGGGAAGAAATGATAAAGGAATGCAGAATAAAAATACTATATGAATAAACTGGGCTTTGCAGGGAGGACTTCATGAACTGAGGGCTATGATGAATTTAAAGCTGTGCTTCTGAGTCCATAAATAAAATAATTAAATTTAGTTCAAGTGAATGAATGGATCAGTAACTGGAAGAATGGAAGAGAGGGAGGGAGGAGGAAAGGGGAGGGAGGGACCTTCTTGTTTGGGGCTTCCTGTGACCTTGCCAGCTGGGTGAAGTAGGTACCGGGGAGGATGGCCCCTGGGGAGCCATGCGCCTGCTACATGCCCTTTACCTGGCAGGGAGGCGCCGGCTCAGCGAGCTGTGGGTGGTTGTCAGTGCCTGGTGTGTGGGCCGCTGTGCCTCAGCTCTCTCACCCCTGTGTCCCCATCCATAGCCTTGGAGTGGCATCAGCTGCCCACTTGGACTGATCCTGAATAGAAAACTGGGGCGAAGGCCACCTGCCCGTGGGCAGTGCCCCCTCTGTGGCCTGGGTAGGCAGAGGGCCCTGCAGAAGGTTGCATGAACAAGGGGTGTTGGGGCAGCTGGGTGTTTTGGCCTCTCCCTGTGCATGGGTCACCCGTGAGGGGGGAGTTTTCTTCTTCCAGGGGTGAGCAGAGGGTAAGGGAGCAGGAGACCCTGGGTGGCCACTGGAATGTCCCACTGCACTGGCCTGGTTTGGGCACCACTCACATCTAAAAGCCAGGGGCTGTCTGTGGAGGGGACAGGCAGGCTCACCAGTAGTGGCCAGGACCGCCTGAGAAGGGTGACCCAAGTGCCCAGAGGCAAACCACCAGAAATCTTGTTCCTGCAACTTTCTAAACTAGTCCCTGGTCACCATCCCACCTCGGCTTCTACCAGGGGTCCTGTTGCCCATCTCTACTTGGGGGTCCTGAGCAGGGGCACCTCAAGGTGTGTGGAGGGCAGGAAAGTGAGGGGTGGAAATCAGAGCTGCAGGGTTTGCAGACAGGATGTGAGGGGTTTGGGGGCTCCCATGCTTCTAGCTCATGCCCTGAATGGATGGAAATGGCATTTAGAAGATGGAGAACGTGGGATTCATTGTGTCAGGAGCCACCCTTCGGTACCTCCTGCCTGTGTGTCCGGGCCACACGCGCAGGGCCACGTGGGCTGGATGTAGTGCTGGGGCTTCGCTCTTCTCTCCCAGGACCTGGGGGCTCTAGGCTCTGCCTCAGTGGGCCTGAAGCCTGGGGTGCACTGGGTACTTACCCCTGGGTGTATCTGCTAAGATGGGGTCCCGCAAGAGCCTCCCCAGCAGCCCAGGTGGCAGCTCGTGGACCAGGGTAGGGATGGGAGGGGCCCGGAGCAGGAAGGCACTAAGAGGGTCCTTCTGAAGAACCCTTGTT